GCCTCTCAATTAAAGGGAATGGACATGGAAATTTCTGAAGGTTTTCTTGTTCATTTCATTATGACTTCTCTTCCTGCGCAATTTGGTCCTTTTAAGATCAATTATAATACGCAGAAAGATAAGTGGAAGATGAGCGAGTTAATTGCTATGTGTGTTCAAGAAGAAGAGAGGCTTAAAGCTGAAAAGCCTGATATGGCTCACCTTACCATTTTGGGTCCAACCAAAAAGATTTTCAAGACAGGCAAAAGTAAGAAGAAGAAGAATGCAAATGATGAAACTCACAAGGCTAATGAAGAAAATAAGATTCGATGCCATTTCTGTCGAAAGAAAGGTCACATAATAAAGGATTGTCCAGGTTTTAAAAGTTGGTTGGACAAGAAAGGTAGCACTCAATACTTTGTGTCTTATGAATCCCTTTTGGTAAATGTTCCACCAAATTCTTGGTGGATTGACACTGGTGCAAGTATTCACATAACAAATTCCTTGCAGGGATACCTTACAAGTCGGAAATTAAATAAAGGAGAACGAACCATTACGGTTGGGAATGGAATAGAAGTGGACGCTGAGGCTATTGGCACCCTCCGTTTAATTTTAGACTCTGGTTTCATTTTAGATTTAGTAAACACAGTTTATGTTCCTGTTTTTACTAGAAACCTAATTTCTGTTTCACAACTTGATTCCTATGGTTATGAATTTAAGTTTGGAAATAATAGAGTCTCTTTATTTCACAATTCTCATATGATTGGTTCTGGTACTTTATATGGTAATCTTTATTCATTGAATTTAGATTCCACTTATGCACAATCTCTTTTATCCTTTAATGTAAATGACTTGGTAAATAAAAAGAGAAAGCGAGTGAATGTAAATTCATATGGCTAAAGAATTTCATATCTGGATTACAATTTGTCAATTCAATTTCGAAGCCCTTATAGATTTACTGTGATAATGATGCTGCTGTGCAGTTCTCCAATAATAACAAAACTTCAAGAGGATCAAAGCATATTGATATCAAGTATCTAGTTATTAAAGAAAGGGTTCTGAATCAGACTGTTTCCATATCTCATATTGGTACTACACTCATGTTAACAGATCCTTTAACTAAAGGTCTCACGCCTAAGCTCTTTCAAGAACATGTTGCGCGCATGGGCTTAGTAGAAAGTTTATCATGTTTAGATTTGAAATGAGTGTATTATGTTCGTGATAAATGTTATGTTATAATCATCTTCTGTTAATAATGATTATGTTTGTTGTTTTCATTCTTCATACTTGTGCACAATTTAGAAGAAGATGTAAACAACGGGACCGTTATAGATGAATTAGCATTAATCACCATTATGTTGCTAATGTCATCTCTGTGTTTTAAGATTCACTTATTCATGTTGATGGAAAATATTAACACTATAACCATTGTACAGTCTTGATCAATGTGTAAATCTAAGATTCATTCATAATGAATCCATCACATTCAATGTGCATCTCTAAGATTCATTCATAATGAATCCATCACATTCAATGTGCATTAGCTTTAGTCTTCTATACATTGTATATATAGGTACATTCATCAATAATTAGTCACCATCTAATTGATGTACATGTATCTTACTTAATGAGATGAATCTAGTATAATTATACATAAGCCACATTAAGCCATATTTAGGAAAAAATCTTACAATCTCCCACTTGGCTTGCATGATTATACTACGTCACTAGATTATTATAATATGACCAACGTTCTACCACTAGAAGATTGCACCATCACCATTAGATTCTGTTCAATGAAATTATTAGCACCAAATCAAATTAGATTGTAAGAATTTTTCCTAAATATGGCTTAATGTGGCTTATGCATAATTATACTAGATTCATCTCATTAAGTAAGATACATGTACATCAATTAGATGGTGATTAATTATTGATGAATGCACCTATATATACAATGTATAGAAGACTAATGCTAATGCACATTGAATGTGATGGATTCATTATGAATGAATCTTAGAGATGCACATTGTATCTATTATGAATATGTAAGATACATTAGTCTTATCTAATGAATTCATTAAATATAAAAGATGCATTATGTATCATGAATGTATAAGATACATTAATCTATTTAATGAAATTCATTGAATGAATGGTTCTTTGATGGGCAGAATATTAGTATAAATAGTATAAGGTCCCAAACCACACTCTCCATCAAAAACTTAAGTTGTCACCACATGAAGGCTCTCATCGCCTAGAGAGAGAGAAGTGGTTTGAAGATCTTAGACAAATCAAGAACTTAAAGATCAAGATCTTCCATTCAAGATTTCTCTTTCTTAAAAGAGGATTTCATACTATCATGGATCAAGGTATGTATTCACTTATTTTGTATATTAGAAATTCATATAGTTTTCATGTATGGAATTGAATTCTTAATGGTTTTTAGTTTATGTTCCGCAAAGTTTTCTATCAGTGACTTCCAGTGATGTTCAGAACACTTCAGCAATACTCCGACGAACTTTCGATGATACTCCGGCAACTACTCGGTGATATTGAATATTTGGACGAGTCTCTGATGACCGTCTGACGGAAGTTCGGCGGTGGTGAAATGCAACAACATTTTCAAAGTTAAAAAAAAAAGAAAAGAAATTTGATAACAATTAAAAATATATAAGACTAATTAGTATAAATGTTTTATTTTCAGATTAGATAGATTTTAAACTTTATATATAAGAGTTACTGGTAAGTGGCCCATTTGAGAATTGATCGAAAGGCCCACGGTGAGTAAAAGGGGCTATCATCAAAACTCCGTCTTTCTTATGCCTTAGCCCATGGCAACGCTTGGTTTATGTTTAATTAATTAAATTTTTATTATTATCAATGGAATTATCATTTATTGCGACAATGGAATTGACAATTTTGTAAAAAAATCTAAGGAATAATTATTTCAATATTTTTTTCATGCAATCTCATTCTCGTGACCTAGGGCCTCGTTTGAGAACAGGCTAATTTAGTAATTTTTTAGTTATTTGACTAAAATATGAGTTAAAAAAAATTAGCATTTTTGGGATAATTTTTTGACTTTTTACGAAAAGATGTGCAACAAGTAGAGAGAAAAGAGAATCTTTGACTTTTTTGTATGGGTTGTTGGTTTTTTGATTTTTTTAGTAACTTTTTGACTTTTTGACTAAACGGGAGGGTTCCCAAACGAGGCCTAATTAGACTATGTTTTGAAGCAAGTTTAACAAAAGCCAACATTTTGGGCTTCAAAATTTTGACAATAATTATTTTTTTTTTTTTGGATAAATTATATTGACTTTCTCTGAAAATTGGATAAAATATAGCAAATTCCATAATTTTGGTATAATTATGCTAGCCTTCCTTTTAATAAGATTAAATGGACTAAATCTAATATAGATGGTAAGGATACACAAGGTAAAATATAATCAATGGTAATTTAAGTAAGGAAAATTCTAAATATACATAAAATTCATACAAAAATTTTGACAAAAATTATATAGCAATGTTATTATTGTAAATAAATCTATTTTCAATAGTAATTTTATTTTGAAGTGAAAGATTTACAATAAGCCATATCATTATATATATAAATTATGTATGATCTTTTTATTTGTATAGCATTACTCTTCAGTAGGGCTGTGTAAAATATTGTCCAATCTACTAAAACCGTATCGATTTGCATCAATCCACACCATTCTATCCACTAACTGCGAATTAAACCTTAAAATTTATAATCCATTTTCGAAACCACTCTGTTCCGCTATAATTAATATGTATATATTTTTAATCTCTAATAAAATATCAAAGTAAAAATGAGTGTAAGAGAGATTTAAAATGTAAAATTTGTTAAAAATTAGTAATTATATATATGAAACATATTATGTAAAATTAGTTTATGTAATATATATGAAAAATATTATACAAATTAGTGTTATATATTATGAGAATGTTTAATAATTGGTTAAAATATTCTTCAATCCGCCAATCCTTTCAAAACTGCCCAAATCGCAATTTGTCAATCCGTCAATCTGCCATTTGATTTATAATTTTACTTTTAAACCGTTCGAACCGCACCGCACACAACCCTACTCTTTAAGTAATTAAGCCCAAAATACAATCATCAATACAAGATCAACATTGTTCCAAAAGCATTGGGCTTCTTGAAATTCAAATTTGAACTTGAGAGAATTTGAAAGTCTATTACAAATTTTGTTTAGATAATTCAGATTGTTTAATTTATAGGACTTATAGTATATATCATTCATAAAAAAAATTAAATTGATCTAATTATCATTATTTTTATTTTTATTTTTCACGTTTGTCTCTATAAAAATAAACAATAAATATATATATATTTTAAAATAAGTCATTTAAATACAAATACGATAAAATTAAAATATTATAATTATTGGTTCAAATTAATTTTTTAATGAGTGATATATATTATTGAAACAAAACTCATAATGGAATTTAAAAGCCTCTCAAATTTTCTTGTGTTCAAATTAATTTGAGAATAAAAATATTAGAAGTTTATGTGAGTGTTGGATAAAAAGTTTGATAGAACTTTAGGGTTTCTAATTATTCATTTGAGAAAACTCAATCCATTTACAAATTATTAGAAAGAACCTATTTCATAAAGGAAGAATTACATATAAGTAAAAGAAACACAAAAATGTTTAAAAAAAAAACAAAAAATTATAATTATAATTATTAATATTGATAAAAATGTTTTGAATTAGATAGAATAGAACTCCTTTATCGTTTCTTCAGTAAATATAAATATATATATGGGAAAATTGGTCTAGGGTCCCTCTCCCACTTTTCATAATGGAAGAGATTCACAAAATTATTTTTTGATGTCTAAAGTCCCTCCCATCTATCACAGAGAAATTCAGCCCCCTTCCCCTTCTTCAATCACGTGTGAAGCTTGTTGAAGAAGAAACAAGAGTCTCAGTGGGGGCTAGAGTAGAATTATTTATGAATCAATCAACGAAAGTACGTTGTTCAGAATATCACGCGGTACAAAAATTAGTCCGAAACATTTGGATTGGACAGAGGATTGGGAGCGATTCATTGGTCTCCTCCACGGCCACACAATTATTATCACACACTTTAACAAGTTCACAGCAAAACCCTGTTTCAAATTGTCTGAACTGAACCTCCTCCATCGATTCTTTATCTTCCCCCTCCATCGATTCTTCTATGGCGTCTATGTCTAGGTTTGTTGCCAAAGATTGCAGATTGCAGCCTCACGATGCTCTTTACAGGCCAACTACTTGCTTACCTGCAAGGAAGCTTCAAACCCATTTGTGTATGTGGTTGATTTTTTATTTGTGTCACTCGGTGACTTGTGGGTATTGTTTAATTGCTTGTTTTGAGTCATGGGTTCTTGTTATGCTTGCGTTTTTGTGTGAGATTGATGCGTTCTTAGTACGGTTTGATTGTAAGTGAGACATTTTTTAACAATAATTATGTCCCCTCTCTCAGCCTGATGTTTGGGATGTGAATTTCTAGATTTGAATGTGTAGATTTTGAATTGTTTCACTCTTGTTGCCTTGTGGGTATTGTTTATTTGCTTGTTTTGATACATGGGTTCGTGTTATTTTGCCTTCTTATGTTCAATTGATGCATTCTTAGCACTGTTTGATTGTAATTGAGACATTTTTTTTTTTAACACTGATTCTCTCCCGTCTTATCATGTGAATTTTTTGAAATTGTGTCACTCTTATTGCCTTGTGGGTATTGTTTAATCGCTTGTTTTGATGCAGGGGTTGTTATTTTTGCATTCTTATGTTCAATTGATGCATTCTTAGCACCATTTATTGTAATTGAGACATTTTTGAACACTACTTCTCCTCCCTCTCTCATCTTGACGTTTGGGATGTGAGTTTTTAGATCTGAATGTGTTGACTTTGACTTGTGTTACTCATGTTGCCTTATCGATATTTTTAATTGCTTGTTTTGACACATGAGCTTCTTGTTATTTTTGCGTTCTTATGTATAATCAATGCATTCTTAGCGTTGTTTGATTGTAATTAAGACCTTTTTTTAACACTAATTCTCTCCCCTCTTTCCTTTTGATGTTTGGGTTGTCACTCTTGGTGCCTTGTTGGTATTGTTTATACTAGCGGTCGTGTACACACAATGTGTGTGCAACTATATCAAAGAATAACTTAGAAGCTTTTTTTTTTTTTTTTTAATTTAAAATTATTTTGATATAATTGAATTTTTTTTAAAAAATTTCTCAACAAAATTATAGTTTGAAACCATATAGAAATGGCATACACCCTAAACCTTGAGAAAAAGTGAAAAAAGAGAGAACAAATTGTTGAATTCTGAGTTCTTCAAACAAATACACCGGCTGATTTTTACGCCCTTTAAGTTAGGTGTAAAATTCAGTCGGTCATACTGTAATCAGATAAACTATTTTAGGACAATTCTACCGAAATTCCCCCTTAAAATATTAGTATAGATGTGTTTTGAAGCATGGCTTCTTGTTATTTTGTGTTCTTTTGTTCAATTTATGCATTCTTAGCACTGTTTGGCTGTAATTGAGGCATTTTCTTAACACTAATTTTTTTCTCTCTCTAATTCTGATGTTTGGGATGTGAATTTTTAGATCTAAAATGTGCATTTGGTGTTGAGAATGGGAAAAGTTGTTTGGCAATCCATTGTAATCCACGGCGTCCAATTGTTGCTCTGTCTGGCCCTACCTCAATGCTTCAGCCTTCAAGGTATGCTTTGCCAACATGCATTTGGCTAGGGACAGCTTACACAAATATGAATAAGTATAGGAATGGCAAATTGCTACTTAATTGAACATACATGCCTTGCCGAATTTACCGTGTCTTAACATTGTTTTGTATAAAAAAAACTTTGTTAAAAGGTTGTTGACTGATTAGGGATCATAAATTTGTAATAGCTTGAGAGCATACTTAGATGGAAACAGGGCATATTCTGGCCTTCGTGTATGTAATTCTTGAAGTTGAATAAAACTAGAGGAACAGGATTCCTTGTTCCTACAGTCCTATCAGCACATTTTTAAAAGTATCTTACGAGTGAAAAATGGGATAATAAGCTTCATGTATGTGCCACATCAGTTGTATGTTCCACCCAAGGAAGCCTCATACGTCACTCTGCCAAATTAGGTCCTTGAGTGTTGCTGTGTGCAGGTGTGGACTTCTTTGGTCCTTGATGTCATCGGTTTTTTATATCTTTTGTGATATTTTATATTCATTTTTACATAGTTGTCATTTGGGTGGGGTGAGGGGGATATGTTGTCTTGTCTGTGTCTATCCATATGCAATCTTTTTGTATTTCTTCTCCAATGTATTGTATTTTCTTTTGGGCATACGGCCTTCATTTTAAGTCGAGTGTTGGTTTGTTTTTCCCCTTGTATGTGCATGATCGCCCATCTTTGATCACAATAAACTTTTGACTTCTGTGATTAGGAATTATCAAGTAGTGTGCAAGGCAGCAACAAATGCATCTGGAGATGTTCCTGGTAGAGCTCCTAGTGGAATGAGCCAATATGAAAGAATAATTGAAATGCTTACAACTCTTTTTCCTGTTTGGGTATGTTTTGCATTTATTTAGGACAAATTAAAACGTTGACAACCTTTTCTCTTTGTCTCTCTCTCTTTTTTTTTTTTTTTTTTTCCTTGTTATGTTTGAATGCACACTTCAGTTTTCATTTGGACAATACTTCCTTAAGGAAAAGTTTCACATTTGAAATCTTACTTTACAGGTCATATTGGGTACAATCATTGGCATCTATAAACCTGCCGCGGTAACTTTATTATTCTTGTTTTGCTATTTGAAGAATGGCAAATCCCTGGCTGCCTTAACTACTTGAACTCGGATCTTTCTTGCAGGTGGCTTGGTTACACACAGACCTTTTCACTGTTGGCTTGGGTTTTCTTATGCTTTCAATGGGATTGACATTGACTTTTGAGGATTTCAGACGATGCCTACGAAACCCATGTACTGTAAGAAGCAACTTGTTCATATATAAGCCGTAACATGGCTGATTTTATGATGATGGCCTTTTTAAACCTATTTAAGATTGGTTTTTCTTTTTTCTTTTCCAATTGGTGCAGGTGGGTGTAGGATTTCTTGCTCAATACTTGATAAAGCCCATGTTAGGGTTCTTTATCGCATTGGTATGTCTTCATCTACTAGTTAGCACACTGTTTTGTGAGTCTGCATATATTAGAATTCTAACCTTTCGAGGTTGAAATTTCTGAGACCAAAATAGCACACTATTGTTTCTGCCGATATTGACACACGTGTATATTTAATGTTTAATGTCGAGACATTGGTAAAAATGTTTTGGAATTCTAGAGATTCCATAGGGATTTAGACAATTGTGAGTGGTCACTAGTTTTATGGTTGTTGATTGTTATTGAAAAAATCCAAGCACAGTTGACTAGGGTAATACTTGTTCCTCGTTGAATTTCTTTTCACTTGGTTGCTTTGGCATGATCTAATTTGTAATTCTTTTTACCCCTTTTGTGATCCAAATGACTAAATAGAGTGGAAAAGCTTCCTCTCAGATGGCTCAACGTTCAAGGAAACTATGGTTTGAGTTGAGGCCTTGAACATGCAAAAAACAAAAACAAAAACAAAAAATAAAATACCATTGCTCATGTGCTTGGGTGTTGTAATGCTTTGTACCTCAGTAAACCCTCTATAAGCAGCAATGTTTTATTTTATTTTATTTTTATGGCACCCCACATTATTGAATTGTTAATATATGTGTATGGTAATGTGGAATGCAAGATTAGGAAAATGAACCGTTTTTGGTTCAGATTTCACAATGTCTTCAAAATAGAATTGCCAACACTAAACTGTATGATTTGCAGACTTTGAAGCTCTCTGCACCCCTCGCAACTGGTCTTATTTTGGTTTCTTGCTGCCCTGGAGGCCAGGCATCAAATGTTGCTACATATATTTCAAAGGGAAATGTAGCGCTCTCAGTACTTATGACAACGTAAGCTCAATCTACTTCACTGCATTGGATAACTTTTGTTGAGAGGAAGTATAGAACTGGTTCTGTCAGTTTGTCTTGTGCCCATTTACATCTGAATGGTCACCAAAAATTTCGTTTAGTTTGTCTAGCCCTTATGAAAGTATCATACAATTATTTTCAGGAGAGTGGAGATGTACTTTTGTTTTGTTTAGAAAATAATAATAATTTTGCTTCTTCTGAAAACAATTTAATTATACTCTTTTTGATTTTATACTGATGTAGTAACTGACTTCTAATGTATTGTGGAACTTTTGTAGGTGTTCAACCATTGGGGCTATTGTTATGACACCACTCCTCACTAAGCTTCTTGCAGGTCAGCTTGTTCCAGTTGATGCAGTAGTAAGTACTGTAATGCTCGATAGTTTAACTCTTCAATGTGATTGTGTGGCATGATAGTTAGAACGTTGAAGAAACGTACCTATGAGCTTCGTGGATAGCTGACTAAATGACAAACCTGTACAAGTGTTAGCAACTAAACTTGAATTTCCAACTAAACACTTGTTTTGGCTAAGACCCTCTATGCGATTTTATTCAATATGTTGAGGGAGAGCCCACACATGTATTGTTGTCTAAAAACCTGCCTTTTAAGTGGGCATAGCCATAGATATCTGATAGATTCAGATATTTAGGTTAGCTGTGAAATAGGTGTTCAACTCTTCTTTTTTTCTTCTGGTTTTTGTCATTTTAGGGGTGGGTGAGATAAACAAACAATAATCTTCATATCCTCTTTGGGTTGCATTTACCGCCTACTTGGGGTGGTGAAGAGACACTATTTTTGCTTTGATATTAGACATTCCCGCTTATTAAATATATATATTTAACATTTTTTATCTTTCAGGGTCTAGCCATCAGTACTTTTCAGGTTGTTTTAGTGCCAACAATTGTTGGAGGTAATTAGACGTGTTTCATTTTAATTTATGTTTTAAGTTTATTTTTGGATAAATTACAAATACATCCCCTGAGGTTTGCTTAAAGTATAGATTGCCCACTATGGTTTGAAAAAGTACAAATACCCCTTATTAGAATTTTTTATTTAACAAAATTAACTAAAAAAATGAAATTTATAATTGCTTTCGTATATAATAACACAATTATCTAAATTATTAATTGAAACATATTTCTAGTATCATTAAAAAAATTTAATTAACTTGATGACTTATTAATAAAAGGGGTGACTTGTTATAAAATTAGAAACCTCAGAGGGTATAATATAATTTCCAATATCACAAGGGGCGATTTGTATTTTAATTAAATCTCAGGAGTGTATTTGTAATTTACCCATTATTTCTATGCAGCAATTTGGGGATATCATAGTTTTACAAAAGGTGATGTTCAACATAAGTGTTCCTATGTTTGCTTTATTTGCAGTGATGTTAAATGAATTCTTCCCCAAATTCACTTCAAAGATAGTCACGTTAACGCCTTTAGTTGGAGTTATTCTTACCACCCTGCTTTGTGCAAGCCCAGTAAGTTTGGAAGAATACTCAGTGTAGCAATAGATAGTTTATACAATAGTACTAATATCTTGGTAAAGGTTACTTTTCGTGGAACTTAATTTGGTGATTGTTTGTGAAGATTGGACAAGTTTCAGATGTCTTGAAAGCTCAGGGAGCACAATTATTATTGCCAGTGGCCCTCCTACATGGTGCCGCATTTGCTATTGGTTATTTGATTTCAAAAATATCATTTGGTGAATCAACTTCTCGTACAATTTCAATAGAATGTGGGATGCAGGTAATTATGTTATCCCGCGTTAGACATGCTTTGCTTTGTTCATTAAAATTTGATAATCATGTCCACTTCAATACCTCTGTTGTAGACTCGTATGTACATAGGCTTATTTTACATTTGATAGTTTAATAGGCATTTAGCTGTAGTTCATATGATTTCTCTTTATCTTGATGTCATGTGAGATTCAAAATATGGAAAGGAATAATAGGGCTTTGACTTAAAAATGTCATCTGACACTGCTAGGTGCTTGCTTATTTTAACAACCCAAGGGGGTAACAAGAAAATAAGAAGGAACTTGCTTATTTGAACACACTTATGCGGCTAAAATCCCGAATTCCCTGTTTTGAAAACTTTAAAGTCCAATGTTTGTGATAAATTCAGAGTAATATAAATGCTTCATCTCGAAAACTTTACATCAATCAGTGATGTCAATTACTCGATTTACTCTTTTGATCTGTTTCTGCAGAGCTCTGCACTTGGATTTTTACTTGCTCAAAAACATTTCACCAATCCTCTAGTGGCAGTCCCTTCTGCTGTGAGCGTTGTTTGCATGGCGGTGCGACTCTTTCTTTCTCATATAATCTTTTCTTTTTCTTTCCGCTTTCTAATAATTCCATATTTTAGTTTTTGATAATTATTGGACGAGTGCTTTTCGTGATTGCAGCTTGGTGGGAGCGCTCTTGCTGTCTTTTGGAGGAACAACCCAATTCCTGTTGACGACAAGGATGATTTCAAGGAATGAAAAGTCTTTCTCTTCTTGCTTGTTACTGCCGTGTTGCCTAGACTGTTGTCAGTTTCAGGTATGCTAGTTTGTCAGTTTTCTGGTGTGGTACTATGCAAAAGCGTAGGAAATGAGATTTTGGGTTTTAGATAGTTTTTTCGAATTTCAAGTCACAAGCATTGGAAATTTAAAACTGTTTTGACATTGAGAAATAAAAGAAATTAAAATGGATGAATAGCATACCATTTTGTAAAAGTAATTTAAATTTATAGACAAACTTCCTTTGATCTCCCCTGAAACTGACACATGGGTTGGTGAATGAACAGAGTATCTTCCTCCAAAGTTTAGCATCCTTACCCTCTCAGAACTTGAATGGCTTTTGATTTGTCGCATCCCAAGAAATCTTCTCAAATTTACTGCCACTGAGAGTTGAAATTTCATCAGTTGGTCCGATGAGAAGTTTCTGGAAGGGCGGGGTAGGTCATGTAAGCGTGGTAGTGAACGAGGAAGATGAATGAACAGGGCATTACCAGTGCACTAAAATGTGTTATGTTATACCGACCAATGAAATGAATACCTTAATCAATTTAATTATTTTCCTAGAACCATCAGATCCATTGAGATATGCTGATAACACCTACTGAGATGAGAGTAGTTCACCTAGAGGGTTCCATGCTTGGTCCAAGATGGATTTTTTGACCTGTAATCGCAACAACCGAAATGCAAGAGCTCCGACGAATGAAAACGTTGTTTTCTTCTTCATCCTATGTTGTCTTGATTTTGATGAAGTGAATGGATTTTCCGAGCCAAGTTGGAGATGAACCGCCAGAGGAAATTGATCTGTCCGATCAAGAGCTACGCGTCTTCATGAGGCCACATTAACACCTATAATTTGGTGTGATGTTGCACTAAAGATTTATGATTTTTCTTTTTTAACTATTAGGACATGTTTGGGACCATCATGTACGGTTTTGGTGTGTTTTGGATTGTGATGTTTGGATTTGAGTTTGGTGTTTGGTTGTCATATCTGAAGATATGATTCTTCTCTTGTTCTATATTTATGTTTACTTGTTATTGAGCTAGGTTAGTGATTTTTTATATATTTTTTTGACTTTTTATTTATATTTTTTTTTATAGAATCTCAAAAAGTTGATTGGTTTAGGAAGTCGAGTGATTTTTTTATTATATTATTTTAACAACGACAAATAATTTTTTTGGCCTTTAAGGCCTCGTTTGGGAATCCTCTCTTTTAACCAAAAAGTTAAAAAGTTACTAAATTAGCCAAAAAGCTAACAACCCATACCAAAAAGTTAAAGATTCTTTTTTCTCTCTACTTTTTGCACATCTTTTCGTAAAAAGTCAAAAAGTCATCCTAAACATATTAGTTTTTTTTAGCTCATATTTTAGTCAAATAGTCAAGAAGTTACTAAATTAGTCTGTTCCTAAATAGTTTATTTAACCAAAAAAGTAGCTTTTTTAGAAAATCCTGAAAAACCTTATGTATGGGATAAATGAAAAATAAAAAATAAAAGAATTTTTTCATAGAAAATAGAAAAATATGTTTCACCAAAATAAACAAAGAGCATTAAAGACTAATGGTATGATAAATAGGTAGTTTGGGATAGGAGGATGGGGCTGTTGACCTTGTGTGCATATTCTCATATTGGTTTTTAAGTGATATATGTATGTCCAAATATAAAATCTCCGATAGCGTTTGGTAGGAATTTGGAATTTTTAAATATGATTTGAAAATATGAGTTGTATTTTGAGTTTGTGAGTTTTAAAATTATGATTTGAGTGTGAAAAATTTGTTTGATGAGACTCCGTTTGGCAAGAGCTAAATGGGACTTTTTTGGTTATTTTAGCTACAAAAGACAAAATAGGCTATTTTAACCACAAAAAACAAAATATTACATCCAACCCATAATCATTACATTCTTCTCTCACAAAAAAAGACAAAAAAGTTAAAAAGCCCTTCTCAAACTAAACTTTTTGGCCTAGGCTAAAATTGCCAAAAAAGTCAAAAAGCCAAAAAGTCAACCCACTTTCCAAACGGAAGCTGAATGAGTTTTGAATTGAGTGGAGAATTTTTTATGTGACATATGATATTTGATATAAAAATTTACAACTCATAATTAAACACACAACTCAAAATTCTATTTAAAGTTCATAAAAAATTTAAAAAAAAATTGATTTTTTTTATATTTAAAATATAAAAAACAACAAGTGGCAATTGTAAAATAAAAAAATAAAAAAAGAAACGTACTATTCCAGTCAATCGGCCGGATGTTTGGGAGGATGACTGGCTAGAAGTCCGGAAGGATGACAAGTTAACTCAAATTTTCTCACTTTAGACAGAGTTCTTAAAAGTGAATGTGAAATTCAATTTTGAAAACTGTTAACAAATATCACGTGCAAATCAAATGGTGAAACTAAAGTTTCAAAATTTTATCAAATAGAACGTAGAATTCTCTTTAGACAAATATTGACAAGTGCCTTTAGCTAATGTGGTGTAACACATGTCACAAAAAATGGTGAAAATGTTAAAAAATTCAAATTAACAAAAAATATTTTGAAATTAGTAAATTACTCCTGCTCGTTGGGTAGCCGAACAAGAAAGTCCTAAATGGGCACGGGTATGGGTTGGCAATGTGAGGATACCATCGGCATACTAAAGACAGACATGAGCAAACCTATTAAGGTATAGCAGCAACAAGGAGTCGGTGGTAGAGGATTAATGGGCATAAATTCGTCCCTAAGTGACACTACAAAGACCATGTCATTGTAGGTTTTTTTTGAACCAACACAACTTTAGGATTGGATTAATAATCTAACAAAATAAATAATATGATATTTAGCAAAGAAAAGTAGGGTCTGGACTAATAATATGGTATCCCCCCATATGGGAGGACTCTTGAATTCCAAAAGGATGCGTGAGATACAAAATGAAGAACTAAAGAGAGGTTCGAACTAAATAATTAAATTACAAAATTGATAGAATTTTATCAATCGTATCACATAATCCTGAATCAATCCAAAAATGAATAGAATATACAATCTAAAAGAATTAACAATTCTAGGATTGACAATCTTAAAAATACTAATCTCATATAATCCAGTCCACCAATTAAACATGGCCTTAGTATTATTTTTAGGTAAAAAATAAAAATAAAAATAAAACAATTGAAGAAAACACAAGGTTACATAAGGAAAGTCCACATATCTTTCAATATCTATAACTGTTGGCTTTTTGGCTTTCGAAGGTTAATAATGTAATTTTAAGCGTGCCAGTAAAGATCAATTAGTCTTTACAGAATATTGATTGCCAACAAATTATCAGACGATTGTGTTATAGTTCTCTCAGTCTCAATAAAGAGGACTTTTACTGGTAACTTATTTAGGAGAATTTAGTAAATAACAAGTGAAGAATCATTTCAGAATCTGAATTTCATTAAGTGAAATGAAAAACTTACAATGATCTGACACAATCTCGTAGAGGATTACAGCAACAAGCTATTTGAAACTACTCCTAGGAAATGAAGTGTAGTACAGGAATTGAAGTGCAGGAATGTAAAGAACTGTAAAAATTGGAAGGAAAAAATGAAGTAAATAAATTGGTTTTTTGATTTGAGTCCGGGTCCCTCATTTTGGGGCCTTTTCTGCTATTTATACTTTTCAATGATAACCGTCGAAGTTGGCTTCCAACCATCGAAATGTCCTCTCGTGATTGCTGAACATGCTCTCTCACAATCAGTCTCACTACGCCACTCTTGCAGTTAGGCTTCCCTCCTGATTTTGAATTTAAATTTTGTGAGTAACCGTTAGGCCACATCATCTTGTATCCTTCGATTGTTCCAGTGCTACACAGATCCATTATTACCAATACAGACTGACATGTGTCTGACTTTGGTTGGCAACTTGTATTAACTCCCTAAATTGCCCTATTCATGCCACGTGTTGAATTGTGATTGGCTTTTACAAATTATACAGCCAACATTATCCCTCGCACTAATATACCCAATACTTGGTGATATTAGTGGATCAAGGCACTTTACTCACGTCCTAGGACGTGTATAGGCTTTGCATCTTCTTAGACATGTAATCGTCATCCATCATTACAGTATTTGCACTACATTAAATTCTCTTCTATGTCTTGAACATCTCCCACTATCTGAGCAATTGAAAAGGTTTATACAGTTCTCATGACCAAGCAAACCTTTTCTTATATAGATCAAGCATACGAAGAGTTGTTAGATAATAATGTTCGTTCTCGAAAAAACTTCCATACATTTATTAGCCACACCTATCCACCTCCATTTATTCAAGTCATGGAAGCTTTTGTAAATTATCAACCTTTAGACCAAGAACCTACTGTTCACAATTCTCTAGACCAAGATTTTGCAACAATGGATATTGGAAGCTCTTCTTTTGCCACAAAACCTTCTGTATGGGATGAAGTCGCTGCTGCTTCTTCTTCTTCTAACACTTCTGGCTAGGGAGCTTGGCCTACTCCTACTCAACCTCAGATGAGGGAGCGCATTCATCATCGATTTCTTGAATTCGATGACCCTCTTGCAGTCCACCCTTTCATGCACAGCTCTGTAGTGTCTTCATACGTTCCCCTCAATCATCTACACAGCCTTGAGGACAACTTGCTTTCAGCATGGTACACTTCTACTTTGTCGTCTCGAATGGTGCGAAGGACTCCACACCCTGATGAAGCCTTAGGAATCAATCTTGCACTCCTAGCCAAAAAAGCAAAACTTTGCTCCGCTGATTGGCTTGAGTGTGTGAACAAACCTGAATTCCCATCTTCATTCAGAGAGGTTCCCACTACTCCTTTCATGCCCTCCAATCCAAATTGGATTGAGGAATTGAGGCTCACCCCCTTCAAGAGTCAATACTTCGCTCCTTATCAAGCTCTAGTTCCTCCAACTACTTACCAGCAATATAGGGCTCAGACCCTACTTGCCGCTTTCTCCCATTTGTCATTCGAAGTCCTGCGAGATGATATCCCTCACAAGAACCTATTATGGGCTTGTGACATTATTTCTAGCAGCCATCTCCTCAACCCTGTAGCCCATGCAGAGCTCTATGCTTTCCTGGATTAACTTTCCCTCCTACTCAATTGGCATATCAATGCTTCTAATACTAGTGAAGTACTAGATGAAGCCTTTGCTGCTCGAATCCAAATTCAGTACAAGGCAGATAATCTCTTCAAAGAATATGAGAACTTCAAAAACCAAGACTTAGAGTATGAAGAAGATACCATTATGGGCGAAGCACATGAGGAAGATGGGATGGATGAAACAGAGAAGGCTCTTAAGCAAACAAAATTTGAAATGAAAGCCCAACAACTCTACTTCCAACTAAGGGCTCACCAATTAGATAAACCAAATTTGGATAGGATAGAAGATAGATTAGCAAAAGAGTATACCTTTATTGAGTTTTGCTGGACAAAGTTTCATGATCTTGTAACTTTGTCCATCCCTTATTTTTACGAAATTGAGAATGTAGCAAAATGAGCCTTCCCAATGTAAATATTACTTATCAATAAAATTGGGCTTTTCAAATTTCATCTGTCATGATCTAGTTTTATATTATTATTGTATACTTAATTGTATGGTTGATGTGACTTAACTCCTTATTATGTTTAAAGAAGCTTTGAATCAACCAATTTTGCTCTGAAACCTAACCCAAAATACTTCCAAAGTGTGGAATTTTCTCTTAAGAAGGGAAACATTTTCTTTACATTCCAATTATATGGTTAACATAATCTGTTCTTGTTTAACTAACAGCTTTGAATTAACCAACTTTTCTTCGAAACACAATCTACGTGGTTCGAAGTATAGAATTTTTCTTGCCCCGCTTACTCTCAAAGAGTGAGTTTCTTTTGAGTTTCTTCATTATTTGACCAAATACTGGTTTTGTAATGTTTGTTCACTTCGAAGCTCAAAATATCAAGCATGAACCATGTTCTTACAAAAGGCTCCTTCAAAGAGCTTCATCCTTCATTGAAAGCCTAAAAGCATGCCTTTAAGTCTTTCGAACCAAATTAATCCCAATTACTGTTTCTTTTGAGTTTCTTCACTTTTTGACCAAATACTGGTTTTGTAATGTTTGTTCACTTCGAAGCTCAAAATATCAAGCATGAACCATGTTCTTACAAAAGGCTCCTTCAAAGAGCTTCATCCTTCATTGAAAGCCTAAAAGCATGCCTTTAAGTCTTTCGAACCAAATTAATCCCAATTACTCTTGGATTTGGGACGTGATACTTGTTTCGAAGTCAATTGCTTGATTCTGAAGTCTTAGCTGACCATTTGACAATCAGGCTTTGAAGCCAACCTCTTATTTTAAAGACCTATAGAGACTTCAAAGCCAACTACACATTGCCAAGTTGGATATTCAACATAGGTTTCCTTCCAGAAACTCTTTTCATTTTAAATTTGGGACCCTTCCATATTTTAAAATAAGGGTTTTAATTTCACATGGACCCAAACAATGAAATAATCATTTCGGATCCACCTGACCCACTTAGCTTGTTCGAGCAACTTTTGGACAGAAAGGTTTAAAAACCCCTTTCCTTCGTATTTTACCTATCTACTTGCCCAAAATTTCCTTTTTCTGCCTTTTGGTCTTGTTTGTAACTTTTCATTTCTCATCCACCTTTTTCTTTCACCTCTTCAGTAATGGCTTCTCTGAAAGTGCAAGTCGTTGAGCATGTGAGTCCCTCTGTAGCTTTAAGGAGGCTCATCAATGAAGAATGTGAAAAATACAAAGCCGGCGAATGGTGTGTTGTTGATGGATGCATTCTTATTCCTTGCCGTTATGCTCAAGGAGAGTACGTACTTGGACCCATTTTTAGAGAGGCCCCTATTCAGCTTCCTGCCTTATACCGTCGTCTAGAGGATCATTGCTTACTCTACAAGGGGAACCTTGACTGGGGAAGCTGGAGGTTGAACCGATCCCATTGCTGCTGGCCTACAATGAGATCTGAATGAGAAGAATGGTATGATCGAGTTGTTCCTGCTAGGACACTTGACCTTCAGGAACTCTGTCTCCTTGATGCCCTTCGACTGGCCAAGTTTTCTATTCCTGAAGACCTTTTCCTCAAACCTGTTGCATTATGTTTTTGGAATTCTTCTTTTAATTTTTTCCAATTTCGATGCGGTATGATGACCCCTATCATTCTGGATATATGTCATCTCTTAGGGTTATCCCTCGTTAGCACTCCTTTTGTTCCTAATTATCCCGACCTTAATGTGCTTTTTTTTATCCCTCATTTGAACTCCTCTTTCAGTGATTTTGCACATTCTGAAAACCCAAGGGAAGGCCCTGTGTCAGACAGAGAGTTTTTCTCCTTTCTTTTGTATTAGCTTTGTAAATTCTTGTTTTGTACTTCTTCTTAGAGGATTATGCCTGAGTTTGCTCTCCTTGCTTGGGCTCTGGCTTTGGGGAAGAAAATAGCCTTAGCTCCATATGCTTTGGGCCATGTGTATAGGGCCTACTCCTAATTTTGTGAAAAACCTTTAGATGCCAATCAATGGGGGCCACTATGGATATTACAGCTCTAGCTTTTTGCTTATTTCACTGCTTTGTATTCTAAGTGTTTGAGATTTTTACTATCAAACCCTACTTCTTATGGAATAAAATATGCCAGAGTTTTACTTTATCCCTCCACTTTTGCCTATTATTTTATTTTCTTCCATCAACTCCCAGTTTTCCCTCCTTCTTACACATTCTTCTGTCCCTGCGAAACCAATATTAGCCCAGCCTGGTTGAGGACTTTCTTGGCTGATAGAAACTGTTCCCAACCCTAGCACAGGGATATGTGGGCTTCTATTTTAACTCCAAGAGAGTTTTTTATTAGCACTTTAAACCCTAGAGCCTACAAATGCATAGCAGAAGCCTACTGCCCTACTCAATTTACCAGGCAATTTGGGCTTACCCAAGGGATCCCTATTCCTCTTTGCAATCAAAATAACCCCAATCTCGTCACTAGAGAGCTGAAGGTATAAAGATCCAGGTTAGAGGAGGCAACCTCCAAATTAATTCAGGACTTAATCGAATTTCAGTTTATTCCCTTCATCTCACAAGGCACTGCACTGAAGAGGTACCAAAACTAGTGGTCAGTAAATATGGAGGTATACTTAGCCATTCCCCCTCAAGATCTATTGGTGGGTCTAGGCCTGCCTTCTCAGGCCCAGCCTAAGAGGACTGGGCTCATCACTCCTACTATTCTTGCCAGCTCAACTTCTGCTCATGTTACCACAAAGAATGCTCATTCTGCCTCTCCTCCTCCTTCTAGAGTTACTAGGGCTACTTCGAAGAAGGCATGCACCCCTTATCCTTCTTTTCCCTTCTTTTTATAATGCTTAGCTTTTTTATTTATAGCTTTTATTTGATGCAGGGACTTCACCAGTAGACTCTCCTCAGAGGGCTCAAGCACTAAGTATTCTTAAAGACAAGCAGTAACGACAACAAAAGAAAAGAAAGCTTGTGTTTGATCCTGAAGAAGATGAAGCACCTGATATCCCTATAAAAAAGGAACAAGAAACCCCACTCAAGAGGAAAAAGAAAGTAACAGTCACTCCTTCTGGTGACCCTGCTCATCAAGCAGTTGCTAAGGCAGTAGAGAAGGAGTAGTCCAAAGAATTGGTAGTTTTTCAGAGGTCTGAGAAAAGAAAACAGCAGTAGCTATTAAGAAATGAAGCAGCTCCTGCTGATGCCTTTCAAAGGGAAACTACTAGGAGGCAACAAACTGCTGAACACTATGCTCTTCGTAGTTCTCCAATCATTAAAACCACTACCTCCGAGACTAGTAATTCCTCTTAGTTTCTTCAATGATTTCCTTTCTCAAAGTTCTAGCAACAAAACTTACCATTGCTTCTTATTTTCTGATTTGTAGCAAAAGTTATTCCACTTTCTTCTCATTCGACAGATGAAAGGCCAAAAAGAACGAAGAACCCCACAAAAGTGCCTATGAGTGTAGAGCCTATCCAAACAGTATTCCCTGTTCCTAGCTCCACATTTTCCATATCTTCTTTGAGGCCAAACATTCCTATTTCTTTATGCCCGAGCTTAACTCCATATCTAACTCATCTAACCTTCATCTCAACCCAATTCACTCTGTCTATAGTCATGGCTACTCCTTTCCCACCTGAGGAGGTCCTAGTTATCACTTCATCTTCAGTGATAGCTAATACTCCTAGAGAAGACATTGGTAGCTCACCAATTCTTTGTCCACTATCACTATCGAGCTCCAGTTCTTCTTCTCTTGACTTACTGGTGGCCAGGACTATAGACACTGTTAAGGACACTGCATCCTCCTCTCCTATCATTATGCAGCCATCTCTTCCTTCCACTAGAGACTTTTCTGCACCTCCAATGTCAGTGGAGGAGATGAACATTTTTTAAGTTAGACTGGCTAGCTTTTTTGACATACCTTCTACCATTCCAGCAACCAGTAATGAAGTTGAGCCATTGGTTCTGACTGACTCTCTCTTGGAAATTTTTGAGAGCTCTTCAACCATCAGTGGGGCTTCCTTATCTCCACTGGACTTGGGCACCTATTTGGAATTGCTGATATTATTCTCAAGGATCCCATTTGAAGCCTTACAAAGACCTATCATCAAGAATGGTTTCCTCCAGTGCTGTAAAGTCATTGAGCAATCCAACATGACTATTTCAAGTCACATGTCCCAAGCAGTAACTACCATAGATTTTTATGTCAACATCTGCCACATTGCCAAAGTCTAAAATTGAAAAGTATTTTCTATTTTTTTAATTTATTTTACCAAATTAATTTTTAATTAAAAAAATTAAAATAAACTTTTAAAAATCAAACCAAATGTAGGCAAGGTGAATATGCATGGGTTAGACTTATTTGGTTCTAATGTTTTTTGAGTGGTTAACATAACGAAAAAATTAGCAATTGCTCTAGTTATACCTATTCAACCTAATCACTCAAGCAAGCAACCAATTTACAATAATGTTCAAACAAAGATACATATTTTTATGTTAAGCCATTGACAATCTAATATGTGATTTTTTGATTTGTAATTTTTTTTTCCTATATAAAGATGATATCTAATTTGAATTTAATGCTCCCAAATTCAAATTCTTGTATCTAATCAAGTCTATTTGTTGATTGATATTATGATCTTAAAACTATCTAAAGACACCTTAGTAATACTGTACATTGTGGTGCATCTTATTCTTAATCAACAACAGCGCGAGCTCCATACAACCTCCATGCAACTAGTAAATAAAAAAGAAACTACACTTTTATGCATGTCAGTACTCAAAAATTTTAAAATATTCTTTTAAACAAAAATGCTTTACTTAGCAATCAATCCAAACACGGCATAAAAGTACCTCCTAATTTCTCTTGGATTTTTTAATGAATTAGTCAAAACAAACAAGCATGTCATGCATCTAAGTGAAGCAAAATGGCATCTATGACATCAACTAGAACTACTTTAAAAGCTCAAGAGGACTCTTTAAATGTACATCAAACTACATAGTCAAAGATAACTTGGTGATGGCTTCTCTCACTTCCCTAAGACTTCCCATTATACATTTCTCGGATGAGAACCTTAAGTCTGGTGCCAACTGCTGCAATGACATCAGACAAGCTTTCGAAGAATTTGGTAGCTTTGAAGCCGTGTACGATAAGGCTACTCTGGAGCTTTAAAATGCCATTTTTGACCTCCTAGATGACTTGTTGGATCTTCCCATGGAGATTAAGTGCCAAAACACTTCTACTAAGCCATTTGGGGGCTACATTGCAAACTCCCCAGGACACCCGCTTTATGAAGGATTTGGAATTGTTGATGCTGGTAGATTTGAAGCAATTCAAACATATGGCCCAAAGGGAAATCAAATTCCAAATATTTTCTTTTCAACTCTTATAAATTTCTTCTTTTTTTCCTAGAAATTTTTTGATTTATCTTGCTTGCATATTTGTGTATGTAGTGAAATTTTGCTTTCATATGTGATGGAAATGTCTGAATTGGAAAAAATGGTGACAAGAATGGCGATACAAAGCTTTGGTGTTGAGAAATACTACGAATCTCATATTGAATCAATTAGCTACAATTTTGTACTCTTAAAATACAGAGAACCAATGACAGATGAGACTCAACTCGGTGTGCCTAGTCATACCGATAAGAGCTTTCTCACCATACTTCATCAGAATCAAATTAGCGGCTTAGAATTGGAAACGAAGAAAGGCAAATGGATTAGGCTGACTCCTTCACCTTCCTCGTTTGTAGTCATGGTTAGCGACGCGTTTCACGTATATTATCTTTCTCTTTCTTCTTTTTCTTTTTTTTATGTGTGTGTGCGCGCGTGTCAATCGAGTTGAATGAGGCTAAACCTTGTCGATTTTTTTGTGAAACATGTATAGGCATGGACTAATGGAAGAGTACATTGCCTTCGACACCATGTAGTGGTGAGTGGGAACAAAGTTCGATATATGCTCCTATTCTTCTCGTATAGCAGTGAATTCGATGTCCAGAAAAGATGATCGACGAAGAACATCCACAACTTTTTAAGCCATTTGAACAACTGTGTTGGATAAAGTTTTCCTTCACAGATGAGGGACGAAACGCCGAGCTTAAGGTTTACTGTGCTGTGTGATAAAAATTTGCAATGCTTAATATGTAGTCCTTTTCAAAAAAATAAAGGGTAAATTATGTTGGACAATCTTCACTGTTTATACAACGAACACACTTTGTGTTTATACACTTTCTCACAAAAAAATAAATGCAGCAAAATGCAGAAAGCAATGACAGCAACAAGAACGAAAATTAGAGTGCAAAATCCAAATGAGGGCTTGTCTATTTATAGGAAAATTTGTGGCTGTTCGGTTTGAATTAAACAGGTGCAAACCTGTTTGAACAGGTATAATATTTGTTTTGTTTAAATTCTAACAGATATAAACCTGTTTAGGTTTAAATTTTGAACAGATACGAAAACTGTTCGGTTTAATTGGACAGATATGGACCTATTTGGGCAGAGGAATAATTTGGACATTATTTGGAATTAATTTCGAAATTCAAATTCCAAAAAAAAGGTAAGAATTTAATTTTAAAATTCAAAAAGTTTTTGGCCGAAAAAGATAAGCATTGGGTCAGATAAGCCTAACCCAACCTCACACCACACATCCGCGCCCAAGCCCAACCGAGCCCGCCCGTGTGTTTATTTTGGGTCCAATGGGTCTAGCCCACTTTGCCCATAACCTCACCCTTCCACAAAACTTAGGTACCCCTTGGGGCCCTCTCCAAGTTGCAAACCCAAGTGTAGACGTCCCCGAACGTCCCGGGAGGGAGATCCCGTTCTGTTCATATGAGGGTCACTACAGTTCAGGACTCAAAGTCACGGTCCTGTATCTAATCTCACAGAGTGCAATGCAAGACCGATGAATCATCAAAGAGTCCAAATCCGGCAAATCGTTTTTGAAAATAGATTTTTTGAAAGAAGTGCCAAACACGGATTGCTTTGCCAGATACACAGTCGCCACCTAAATGTTTTATTTTGGAAAATTTAGGAAACCCTGACTCGTTGCCTAAGGCCACGTGTCCGTCATCACCAAAGTTGCCTTGACTCGGGAACTTGGGTATGATTGGGGAAGGTCACTTCGTGAGCACCCCCGCTCGCCCGATCAAAGATCGGCCTCTACTAACCATGATATCGAGTTTTGAAAACATTATGTGCTCTTATTCCGGTTATTAGCCTAGATTTACTACGTGATACGCACAGCATACAAGTATAGACTGGATCGCCTGAATTGGAACAAAACATTTCATGTTTGTTTTTGAAAGCGGTTTGCTACTCGCAAGTAGGCTTAAAATGCAGATTTTGCCACCCTCGGGTGGGCTTAGAAAATATGATTTTGCCACTCACAAGTGGGCTTAAAACTCACAGTCAATGTATTATTCCAATTCAGATAATCCAACATTCACCAACAGACATTCAGGCAGGTATATCACATAAGCAGTTAGCCTCATAGTAAACATGCTATCATGGCAGTCACTCACACGCATGCAAGGATGCTGAAACATAAATTTACCGAGTACTCCAAGCCAAAACAAAAGCTATGTTAGAAATCCATGCATGATCCTAACTATACAGAAATGCCTAATGCAACACATGCAAAATGCAACTAAGATAGGCTCGGCTATTCTAAAGATGGCATGTGAAATGCTACAACTAACAAGTATTCAACTCGGAATTGAAATACAAATGCAGTTAGTATGATGCGCCGAGCCTAGTGCATGCAATACAGGTGAATGAATGCATGCATGCATAGTATAAAGTATGCTAATTTAAATATGGTAAATAAAAGGGAGAAAGACGTGGGGTTGGAAGACATGCATCACACACACGCACACTTATTACAATTGTGCCCTCGCTCGGAGGGTCCAAATGAATAATACAGTCTGAATAAATAACAGCTACAGCTAATTATTACACAACATTAACTGATTAGCAAACTAGCTAAGTAAGCATGTAAACTACAAGAATGTGACTGCCTCGGCTCTGTTTTGGGTGACGATGGATGCATGCATGCTTGAGTCGCCTCGTCGGGAAATTCCATCGCGATGCCTCGTCTCGCCTCTGTTTGCAATTGACCTCAGAAGACTGCACAAGGCTCCAGAAGGATGAAACTCCACCCTGGGGATCCATGGGAAGGCTGTCGACCAACTCATGGCCTTGGAGACCACTTACCGACCACCTTTTGTGGGAGAAACCCAAAAGGGTGGTCGGCCTGCCAGAAAAGCTGGTCGGGCGACCAGTTTCTGCCTCTGGTTTCTGGTTTTTCTGCAACAAAGGCAAGAGAGAGAGAAGGCAAGGTATTTTCAACATATGTGCGCATGACCACTCTCCCTATCATTGCATAAGCTCTAGGGAGCGTAGTCCTCGATCCTCGGGCCACTAATCACGCATCTCGATGCATGATAGCCGAGGAGTCGGATTGTACGACTCAATGTGAAATGAATGCACATGCAAGCACCTAAAGCCAACAACTCCGTCATGGGTAGTCAAGAGTGTCGGCGACTGAGAATCGATGCACATTTCATCACTTGGAGTATGAAACGTCCTTCGTTTCCGATGTTTGGACTAACTCCTATTCCAAACACAATGCAACACACATGGTATACACAATGCGACCTCAAGTATGCAACCTAAATGCAATGCAACTTAGTCATGCAAATATGCAAAGGATGACATGCAAAGCTGCAATTAGCATACACAATGCTATGAACTAACAATGGCATACTCAAATGCACGTGACACTATATGGCATACACAATGCACATGGAAACTAATATACGCAATGTTATGAACGAGGCATGCGCAATGCAATGATCAAACATGCGACAACATGGCATACTCAATGCTATGAACTACAATGGCATACTCAATGCAAAATGGACTTAAACCAAAATGAATGGGCCTCAGCCACACCCAAATCAGTGGCCATACATGATGAAAACAAGGCACCAACACACACACAAACATGCACAATGCAAGGGCTCCAAGCCAAGGGCACAAGATACAACTCTACAAGAGCATGGCAAGAATGAAACATGGAACACAATGGCATATATTCCAGCTCTAAAATGGCATGCAAAATGGCTCCGAATCACGCAAACAACTCACACGATGCATGTTGAAAGGCTCAAGTACCGAAACTAGTGAAGCACATTACACTATAGGTATGCAAAGCGATGCTCAAATGACAAAACCGACTCCAAAAAGACCTTATGCTGGTCAAAAATAGTAGCAAAATGAACCTCTGGAAATAGGTTATGAGGGTCCTAAAACCCACCAAAAAGGCCCTGGAATGGGTCAATGAAGCATGCAAATGAAAGCCCCTTTGAAAGGCCTCGAGGAGGATTGCTCCACACATACATGATAGACACAAAATATGGCCAAAGGGGCTCCAGACAGAGTTAAGGCAAACCTAAAAACTCACAAATAATGGCCTGAAACAAGACTCCAAAACATGCAAAATGGGGGTCCTTTGGAAGGCCAAAAGGGCCAACAGACAAGACAAGGAGAGAGGGGGTCACCCCCCTCTGATTTTGGCTCTCAAAATAGTATGGTAGCCACTGAAAATCCACTGGATTTCAGGGGTTAGAAGGCCAAACAAAGCATGCAACAAAGGCCTAGATGCAAGGCTCAAAACAAGAGGCAAACAAGCATGCAAGGAAGTAAATGACCTCAAACAGAAAAATGCCCTTAATCAAACATCAAGAGGGGCTCAAAATAAGACTCTTTTCATTTTATGAAAAATCTCTAAAATGCTCATAAGTAGGGCTAAGATATGAAGCAAAATAAGCCTACAAAGAGGGATAGAGCATACAAGGAGGTATACGACCTCAAACAGAAAAGTGTCCTTAATCAAACTTTAATAGGAGCTCAAAATAAGACACTTTTCAGTTTATAACAAAATCCAAAAATGCTTGCAAATAGGGCTAAGTTATGAAGCAAAATAATGCAAAAAAAAGGGAAATTAGGACTTACCCTTGTAGCACAGCAATGTAGCAAGTTCTAGACCAAGAAGGTGAGTCTTCAACCTCTGAAAAACAGCTCCAAGATGATTGAATGGATGGTGGAGGTGGTAGGCTATGAGGTGTGGTGTAATGGCCAAGAACAATGGGGTATTTGAGCTTGGATGAGAGAGATATGGAGCGTGGAGTATATATGCCTTGACTGGTTTTTCTAACCCTTGCAAATGGAGGGGAAGTGTTGGTTTTATAGAGGAGAAGAGCCAAGACTTCTTGGAGAAGCCTCAAGAGAGGGTCAAAGCTTCTTAAAGAAGCTTAACCAAAAGGGTCAAGCTTCTTGAAGAAGCTAGACCAAAGGGGTCAAGCTTCCTCAAGAAGGTTGACAAAAGGGTCAAGCTTCTCCTTGAAGCTAAGCAAAAAGATCAAATCTTCCTTAAGAAGACAAACAAGAGGGTGAAATCTCGGAGGAAGGGCCAAATGCTTCATAGCTGACACAGCTGTGTTGCACTCAGGAAGGCCAAAAAGCAAAAGGTTGGCCGACCAACCAAGGTGGTCGGCCGACCAGGGGTCAAAAGGGTCAAGGTGAAATGCTGGTCGGCCATACCAGAAAGGTGGCCTCCCAGATGAGTAGAATACAACTGTATAGTGGGAGACCAGAAATTGTGGCCCAGGGGAGAGAAAAACTAGCTTTCTAGAAAGGTTCAAAAGGGTCAGGAAGAAAAGATGGTCGGCCTACCCATATTGGTGGCCTCCCAGATGAGTACAACACAATGGTGGTATGGGAGACCAGAAATTAAGGTTCAAAAGTGAGAAAAACCAGTTTTCTGTCAAGAAAACCGACTGGAGGAGAGAGAAAATGATTTTCAAAAGAATTGCTGGTCTCCCACCATCCTACCACCTTCCAAACAATGAAAATAGGGTCCATACCAAAAATGAACCCTAACCGATGCAAAACGAGGGTTCGGGGGCCAAAACACGCGGCCTGGGGCCCCGAAAATAGGCTGTTAGGTACCAGAAGTGGCGTGTGACCACGAAGGTGGTCTCTCGGGCCACAGTGTCCCTCGAAAGAGAGGAAACAAGGTGTGTGCCAAAAACCGGAGCAAACGGATGTAGTTAAGCGGTCCCGAATCTAGGCACACGGCCGACGGCTCCGAAAACCAGAAACTGGTCTCCAAACGGGAAAAATGGCCTACGACCATGAAACGTAGTCTACGGCCACTGAGAGATCGTCTACGAGACCTCTCCCTCCATTTGGGAAGAGAAAACAGAGAAAACAGGAACTGATTCGCAAACCGAGGTAAAGCACAAAAGAGCCCCGAAGTCTGGAGGCAAGGCTCTCAGCCGAGACTCCGCAACCGCAGAACAAGCACAATATGCATCATCACTGAGCGCTCAACCGATGACGTCTGAGTCTTAAGGCCGGTCAAAAATGGGGTGTCTACAGTTGCCCCTCTTTGACAGAACTCGGAAGTCATAAGTGACGGGAGTGAATGTCAAAGCCCAGAGACGACCCATTTTTGACAAGGCCGAAGACTTAGACAAACAAGCAAGATAATCAAAAAGATGTGCCCGCAGGCAGGGGCAAAATGCGAAATGATATGTGATATTACAAAATAATGTAGTAAACAATGCAAATGATATGCAATGCATTTGAGATGATCAAATCACAAGCAATATAAAACCACACAAATATCATAAAGATGATGGAGATGCAAAATCCGTCTACCGTAGAAAAGGTGCTGACACCGTCAAACCACAATCCCATCAGTGGAATAGGCGCGTACACATGCAGAACTATGTGTGTGTAGACGGAACACAAGATACAAGTAATTGGGTGGCATGATATAAGTGAGGAATGATCTGTTGAGAAAAGATCACGATCTTAAATGCTGGATGCAACACACTACACTACAATGCAATGAATGCAATGGAAAGGCCAAACCAAGGCCAATGCAAATGCTCAAATACATAGCCCTAAACATGAGGAAATGGTGCATCAAGTGACGTGCATAACAATGCAGGATAAGTGCAAACTTGAATGCATATTTGACCTAAACAACGAGCAAAGAAATGCAAGTTTTGATGAGGGCGAGTCAATCGCGGCCTCCGGTTTACCTCCCGGAAGGGTCACAACATATTCAAAAAGGATACACCTCGCTCTTGGCAAGTAAAGATGAAACACGCATCGGGAGCTGGAGTTGAAGTTTCCGCGGAGGGATTTCGCGACGAAAAGTGCACTTTCCTTGTACTTTCTCGAGTGCCGGGGACTCCGATCACTACCAAAATTTGTAGGGAGTTCAAAGAGACCTTGGAGACCACCATGGGAGCACCATCGACCAGGTTTGGAGGCCATTGGAGGTCACCGACCAGGTTTGGTAAAGGTTGGCCTACCAGAAAAGGTGGTTGGCCGACCACCTAGCCAAAATTTGGGGCAGTTTGGTACTTTCACACTCAGATCTTTAAGTATACTCAGCCAAAGCTCTTTTCCTCACAACTTCAAGTCCAAAATCATCTTCTCCTCCTCCCTAGACCATTTTCTCCCTCAGATCTGCGCCCTATACGCGTTTTCCAACGCCCCACACAAAGTTGTTTCGCGAAAAACTTTCAGTTCTCTTCACTTTGAACCGATTAAATTTTGATTTCGGTGCTTCTTTCTCCATTTTCACCACTTGAGGTAAGTTTGTCTCAACATTTGGAACATATTCTCGGGAGTTGACTTTTGTTGACTTTTTCATTTCCCGAGAGTTGACTTTTTCCAATTTTGGCTCATTTTGCTCATTTTTGCAGATTTCTTGAGATGGCAGGTCATTTCCCTTATGGCGGAGGTCCTCTCAATACTGGAGGTGAGCCGGACATTATGTCTTTGCCCCCGAGGGTTCGGCCATTCGACCTTGAGAGGTATCACCCTCGGGAGCATATCCTTCATCGGGCCGTTTTCTACCATTTTACTGATTTTGATGATCGAGCACCCGTGGATCTGCTACTGCGGGAGCTGGAGTCCCACCTGTCTCATCAGGCACGGGAGGTATGTACTTCACTTTTACGTTTTCCGTAATGTATTATGCATTTTCTATGCATTTCAGGCTTTCGCTATGTTTATCTGCTTATTCTAGTACACAGCTTATTCTGAACACTTAGTCTATAACACAGTATTCCGTTCGCATCTTGAACACACAGCTCAATCACTTGAATTTCTGAACACACAGCCCACATATTGATTGTGAACACACAGCACACACTTGTTAAGAGTTGAACACGCAGCCCAAACTGTGAATTTCTGAAGTCTGAACACGCAGCCCAAACACTTGATGTTGAACACACAGCTCGAACTTTGAGATGAACACACAGCCCACTGATTTTGAAATCTGAACACACAGCTCAAATACTTGACTTTCTGAATACACAGCCCAATTTGATTGTGAACACGCAGCACACCCTGATTGAAAGTTGAACACGCAGCCCAAACTCTTGAATTTCTGAACACGCAGCCCAATTTGATTGTGAACACGTAGCACACACTAATTGAAAGTTGAACACGCAGCCCAAACTTTTGAATATCTAAACACGCGGCCCAATTTGATTGTGAACACGCAGCACACATTGATTGAAAGTTGAACACGCAGCCCATACTTTGAATTTTCGAACGCGCAGCCCAAATTGATTGTGAACACGCAGCTTACACTGATTGAAAGTTGAACACGCAGCCCATACTTTGAATTTTCGAACGCGCAGCCCAAATTGATTGTGAACACGCAGCTTACACTGATTGAAAGTTGAACACGCAGCCCATACTTTGAATTTTCGAACTTGAGGTGAACACACAGCACACACTTGTATTTGCACACAGGTCACAGCATAGTATCTGATTTGGTTTGCACACAGCTCATACATTTCATTTGCACGCAGCTTATTCATTTCATTCTGAAACTGAATACATGTGTTCATTATGAATGCAGGTGTCTTCCCGTGTTACACGAGGATATGGCTCCATCGTTACGAAGGAGTGGTACACAGAGCTCCCGGAGGCCGTCTGTGATTGGGTTGACCAGGCAAGCTTCGGACCCTTTTGCACGGGGATATCTCACTATCCTGCCAGCAGGACATTGATGGGTGCCCTTGTAGAGAGATGGTGGGACACCACCAACTCCTTTCATTTCTCAGCTACCGGGGACATGACTATGACCCCGTTCGACTTCGCTGTGCTGACAGGCCTTGACGTGGGAGGCTGGTCGATCCCTTATAACGAGGACATGGGCGAGTGGGAGGCCGCCTGGATCTATCTATTGGGAGCTCGCCCACCGGTTGACAGAGCATCGGGCAGGGTCCGGTACACTTGGTTCTCCACACATTTCAGGGGGACTGAGCCCGAGACTCCCGAGGAGACAACGCAGTACACTCGAGGTTTTTTGATGTTCCTCCTCGGAACCACTCTGTTCTCCGATAGGGGGAACACCGTCGGACTCTATTTGCTGAGTGCCCTGGTAAACCTATCACAGGTCAATCGGTATGACTGGGGTGGCGCCGGCTTGGCTATCCTCTATTGCTACATGAGCGCGACCTCCTGCGGACGGAGGAACATAGTCGGCGGTTATTGGAGAGCCTGGGAGGTACTTTCTGCCCTCTTTGATTTACGTTTCTGCTTTTCGTTATCTGTACACTGCACGCACGGCACACTTTACATTCTGTACGTTGCATTCTGCTCTCAGCATTCTGCATTCTCTGTACATTCTGCATTCACGTTCTGCACTCAGCATTCTGTATTCTGATGGTTATTGCCTTGTTTTCCACATCTCTGGGTTTTCGCGTACTTTTCGACGCTGGCCCCAGAGCTCGAGGTGGCGGTGCCTCTCACGATCCTTTACTCACTTGTATTCGAGAGCCAGTACCAGCTGAGGGCCCGAGAGACTTTGCCCTACCTGCGGCAGTATTTTGACACAGTGCGGCTGACAGAGGTAATTCAGAACTCTCAGTTCTTCATGTTTTCGTCTCTGATTCCTCTTGCACATTTATGATTTCTAATCGGCTCATGCATTGGTTATCTGCCGATCACATGGCAGCCCTGGGCGCCCTTGGGTGGAAATACTTGATTTCAGCTTGCTGGGGGGTGAGCCACTTCCCGGTATAGGATCTTATTTGAGGGGCCCGTTGGTAGGGCCTGGTTTCTGGGGGACCGTTTCATGCGTCAGACTATGGGCTACCCCGAGCAGAGTGTCCCCGCAGCACCTCCGGTCGACATGCAGTCCACTGAGGAGCTCACTCCCCAGGATGTTGAGTCGGCTATGCTGGGCACTGATGTACTTCTGCATTTGGAGGAGGGGGAATACGCGACCTACCGCCATACATACTTGATGCCTCCATTGACAGGTGTCCGTACTCCCACGAGGAGACCGGATGGCTAGATTTCCCGACCGAGTTAACAGGATGGCGGTACAGGACTTTCTATCCGATTCCGATAGAGCCTCCTATGCCTGATCACCTATACGTCAGTGATCCTGACTCACCATCGGTATGCTCCACTGCTTTTCATTTATCACTCGGATACTTAGTCACTCATTTATTCATTGATGATTTGAGCTTGTATCTGCAGCCACCCAGAGAGTACATGGAGGGGATGCTCGGATTGGTGGCCTCACTTGAGGGCATGGTCTTGCGGAGAGTGGCGCAGCTGTCCATCCTCGGTTTCCGGGTACTCTTTAGTTTTCTCGCATTTATCATACTTCTGATGACATGCTGAACTTGAACATCTCACTGCATTGATTAACTGTATGTGTAGAGCACATCTGACACACACCACATTCATGTACTGTATCTGCATGCACCCACTTCATGTAGTTTTCTTGCATTTGCATCTGCATCTGATATACATACTTTGGCTGATGTATTCAAATTGTGCTCTTTCTTTTCAGATGGCTCTGCTACATACTGGACCGCAGGCCGGGCCATCCAGGCCTCCTTGGAGAGCTGGGAGAGGGGGTTCGACTCGCGACCAAGGCAGACACAGAGCACCTGTCGTAGAGGAGGAGTCCAGCGAGGAGGAAGAGCCTGCCCATCCCCAGTCAGAGACATCCGCTGGCAGAGAGGATGACTCTGGTTCTGGTCCCGGTAGTGGAGATGATGCCGAGGAGGATTCCGAGGGCGGCGACTCCGATTCCAATGATGATGATGGTGCAGAGGTTGTTCCGCAGAAGAGGACGAAGAGGGCCTCTTATTCCTGTGCTTGATAGCATTGATAAAGATGTCCCTGCTTTATTTGCCTTTTTTTACTAGTAGTTGTAGCACATTGTACATTATTAGGCAGTTTTATTTTCTGTAAAACTTGTACCCTTATTGTAAAATGTTGTAACAAAGGAAGCATGATGGAATGAAACAGCTTTTTGAAAAAGTGTTGCATTTTATGTTCTTAGCATTGCATCGCGTTATTTTGCACGAAAATGAGATTGAATGGAATTGTGCACTGAAAATTGCCAAGTTAGGTAGTGAACCGACACAACAAACTAAGCAATCGACTTACTAAGAAATAACACTACCTTAGCAAGTTTACAACTCGATAAACAAATCCCGGAAATGTTGATAAACAAAGAACAACAATTTCGACGGACAAAACTCGACAACTCGATAAAAACTTAACAACTCGATAAACTTAACAACTCGACTTGATAAGCAAAACTCGATAACAACTCGATAAACAAAACTCAACAACAACTCGATAATCAAAACTCAACAACAACTTGATAAACAAACGTATCTCAGATGATCGGGGTGACGAAACGCATCCGAAACAGAGGAAAACTCACACCTTCAACACTCCCAATGCATGGAAATGCTAGGAACTTTCTTCCAGAGGCTAGGACAAGACCAAAGCCCCACTTCTCTTCATGGCCGACCATCATAGGGAGCTGGCCGACCAGCTTTTTTCATCAGAGACCAAAGGGGTGGTCGGCCTACCAGAAAAGGTGGTCAGCCGACCACCTGGCTTGGCAACCACCAAATTATTGACACGTGTCCCCCGAATAATGCCTTATCTTCTATAAAAGTCCCAGCTTCGTGGTTCTTTCATTTCATCTTAGTTTTGCATCAAAATAGAAGCATTTCTCATCCAAAATCTCCAAGCTTGGATTGCTTCTCTAGACGGCTCGAAAAAGTTAAACTTCCGGGGCTTCGGCTTGAATGCACTATTCACGCTGGGCCGTACTCCGCTGCATCTTTCTTTCCTCCATGTCGCGGCGAGGTTTTGGAATCCGGTGACACACGTCTTTAGCTTTAGCAGGCAAGAGATGTGTCATACTTTCGAGGATTTCCAAGTTTTGATGGAGTCCGAGCGTAACGAGGAAATCTTGCCTCAACTCCGATTTGGCCACGTCCAAGCCCTAGGACGAATCTGCGGCCTCACTTTACATGACGCTTGGTCTCTGATCTGCAACGGGGAACTGGACATCCTCGGCTTGATTCATCGTTTTTCCATTGCTGATGACCGTGGCAACCATCATTGGCAGGGCTATCGGCGACACGCACTTTGCCTATGCTTGCTATCTCATTTCTTACTTGCCCCGGGCTCCGGTGGATTCTGTGTCCGGTTGATCAAGGTTGCCCAAGGTTTGAAGGAGGGTAAGAGCTGCATTGCCATGACATTGACTGAGACATTGATGGGCTTAGATGCTTTTCATCGCCGGGAGACAGCTAGGCTTACGGGGAGCCCACTACTATTGCAGGTAATGTTTCCCACCCAACCTCACATATGTATTGGTCACATCACTCGGCCCTCAGGCTCGGTTTTTCTCACAAAACCCTTTTCTTTCTTTTCTCTCATCGTACATCTCTCTATCCTTTATTCTCTCATTTTTTTTTATCCCTCCCCAGGTGTGGTTGATGGACAAGTTACAGATTGTGGAGTCTTACCCAGCATACTCAGCTTGCGGCTACTTTTTTCGACAACGCCTGGTCAATGCCCTGGATGAGGGGTGGTAGTACAACTGGATGTGCAGTTTGTCTACAAACCGCATCGCTTGGCGCTGCCCTTGGCTCAATCTGCCGGCGATGAGTTACAACATGACCCGTCAACCTAGGATTCAATTGATTAGCATGACACACTGTGTCTTCTATTTTTTGTTCCGGTTCCGGTGTCAGTTCGGGCATGATTAGACTTGCCCGCCAGAGGGGATAGGGTACCCTGCTGCATTCCCAATCCGAGGCGCACAGCTTGCCCGATATACCACAGCATGGAGGACTAGAGAGCTCCTGGCCCCCGCTCTTACTTTCAGTTGCACTTTGTCTGATGAGTGCTTGGATTGGCTCAATGAAGAGGCACAGGAAGGGCCCACTTTAGCATCAGAGGCTTCGACCAGCTCTGGGAGGGGGCGCAGGGACACCTGACTTATCTATGCCCCGGATTTATTGTTTTATTAGTACTTTCAAGTTTTCTTTATGAATGTAAGAAAAAAGTAACTTCAATTTGTATGCAAGAGTAGGAGAACTCTGTGTTGAAATCAATGAAATTGAAGGTCGTAGGTATTGAAAATTTTTCGCTTTGGTCCAAGAATGGTCTAAGTTGTAAAAAGATTAATTTTGAACAAAGTCAACTTTTATTAAAACTTTTCAAAACCATTTTCGATATGGATCAGAACTGGACACGCTTGAAATCTGTCACTGAGATGCACAACCTCGGATCCTAGCAACTGGAAAGTTGCCCCTAGTCTGAATAGTACCGCGGCACTGCACAGCAACGAAAAGTTACCCCTAGTCTGAAAAGCACTGCACCGGAGATCATAACCGAACTCTTGAATGCTAAATAGAAAAAGATGACCGAGATGATCAAATGGACAAAGTTGATCGGGGAAAAGTTTATGGCTGAACTTCAGGATGAAGTTGCCTACGTATCCCAAAGATGGGAATCAAGCCTTACGTAGTTCAGGCTTAGGTTCACTCGAGTATTTTCACTCTCCTTTTACGCTCTAACTTTTGCCAAGGTCGCCCTTTGCGGTTTTCAACCTTGCGAGCTCAGTTTTTATATTTTCTAATTTTTTGTGCTCTAACTTTTGCCTAGGTCACCCTTTCGGGTTTTCGGCCTAGCGAGCCTCTCAGGGGTAATATTTCTTCAACTTGTCCATGTTGATCGGTTGGGAGAATTCCAGGCCATCTAGGTCCATCAGAACCACAGCTCCACCTGACCAGA